GAGAGAGAGAGAGAGAGAGAGAGAGGGAGAGAGAGAGAACACAGTAACCATTGTCTTCTCTACTGCATAGTACACCATTTCTTACAGTTCCTCATCAAACAGTTCCTCGGAGAGATGTTTTGTGAAAGTGATTGGATTGGTAAACACGTAGATCTGAGATATAATGCCAGCAATGATTAGGTCTCCGGCTTGGTAGTACTTGTGGTGAATAGGAAGGGGGTCTCTGATAGAGCATTTAACAATAGGACCCTTGCACAGAGTTGAAGGCAATAGCATCAGTGCCAACACCAGAAATGTCACTGTCTCAAGTACAAATGAATTCAGCTCTGCAGACATTGCTCGTCAAGTGTTCCCAGGCAGCCTGACTTGAAGGATCACTCGCTCGGCTCTCCTGTAGGTAGGTTAGAGAAGTCTAAAGTGTCAGGAATTAGATTGATGCAGCCCTCTCTTCTCTAAGCCCCTGCTCTGGGTGACTCAGGAAATATTAATAGCCTATTTCAGTCCTGGGTAACAGTTTGGCTAGTGGCTAGTTGTTCTCCCTAGGGAGGCAGCAGAATTACAAGTCATCACGGTTACTGTGATAATTAGAGATGTGATAATCAGCTGCACAGAGATGAATGTTCTCTGTGATGTTGAAGAAAGAAAACATGTTATTCCTCCCAGCTGTGTCTTAATAATATCTACATATGTATTTATTTTATGGATTATCATATGTTTTTTTTAAAATGTAATGCTATCAATGTGCATGGTGATTTGCAGATATGAAGGAAAGAGCTCCATGCCCCAAGGGATTTGCAAGGGACACATTTACGAGAAAGGAGAATCACTACTGTCATAACTTTCATACACAGCAAATAATGTCTGGGACAAGATACAGCTTTGGAGGTGCTATTGGGAAGCATCTCCCTGAAGGTAATCCAATTAACACTTAAGTAAAAAAAATCCACAGCTGACCTTCATCACTCAAAGAATACTTTGTGCAACCAGCACTTCATAGGCAGCACATCATTCCCCAAGAAACTTGAAACACACATACTTTTCATTTCAAGATGGAGATCACCGATTCACACTAATCTGGGGCAGAATAGAGCCACACTGATTTAAAAAAAAGTCTCTGCTTTGATTATATATATGCACGAGGGAGAGCAAAAGCATAAAACAGCATGGCAATGCAGTAACACAGTTCCAGTTCTAGTGCCCAGAGTTGTGGCCTGATCAGGGTGAAAAGGGGAATTCTAAAGGGAAAGAAGGTGAAAAGAAAATCATACTTGATTTGCCTGAAGTCAAGAGTCTGCTGTATTGTAGAAGAAGGAGAAGGAAAGGTCATCCAAGATAGGGCCCCCAGGATTGAAGAAAGTTCAGAAAAGACACCAGGCATGGAACCAGGGATCCAGTAATGAGCAAAGGTCCAAGGGCAGACGGTGGGGGTTCAGTGGTTTCAGTACTGAATCCCATTTTTGAAGCAGAGCCCATTACTATGATGGGGGAGGGATCCTGAAATTCCAGCACTGGCAGAGGTTTGGGAGCCAAACCAAATACAAATATAAAAGGGACTTGGGATGCCATGTTTGTAGGTTTGGAAGTGACTGGAAATCAAGGAGGAATTTTTTAACCGGTCCAATTTCATGCAGAGTTTAGGATTCACAGCAGGACCGATCCAAAGTTTCAGTGTTTTGGTTCCCATTAGTGTGTATGAATTTTTGGTGGGGGCAGAACAATTCGCATTCAGTGAGGAAGTCCATTTATGGCCATGCTGGGGTTTGGGACCTGAGGAAAGTTTAGATGGGGGTATGGGATTACCTCGGTGTTGGACTAGCTTGATTTGGGCTGGGTGAACAAAAGTTGAGCAGTAGCATTATGACATTCCCTGGGACAGCAATAAAGATATTGGAGATGTTTCAATTATGAAGAGGTTTATCAGATAGGCTATTGTCCAGCAATTAAGGAACTTTGGAGGCTTTCTGGAAAAGTCCATTGATCAATGTGCTCTTAGGACCTTTGCAGTGGTTGTATTACTCCCATTTAAGCATGTCCAGGTAATTCCTGACAACTTTCAGTGCTAGTCATCTTTGATTTCAAACTGAATATTTTATCCACACCTCTAACAGTCATGTCAGAGGATTTTTCAGGGTGAGCATTTGCAGGGGTTGTGGGGAGGGGCTGACTCGTACATTTTACCTACAGAAATTAAAAACCATATCCTTGTCACTTTCTTGTGATTTTCCAATTATTCTACCATTATTAAAGTAATAGTGTATAATAAATAGTATTTTATGAGAGTGCTCAGACCATAAAAAATTCCCATAGCCAGTATTTGCTGGTAATACATTGTTTTCTTCTGTTGGAAGAAATAAAGAAGATTACAGCAGAAGACATCCCACTTGATCTGGCTATCTTGCTTCTTATTTCAAGATATAGCATTGATGAAAACGAAGTAAAAATTACTGAATTAGCTACCACATTAATAGCCATGGCACGGCTTTCTATTGCTGCCTCATGGAAAAATCCTGATCCTCCTTTCATTGCTCAATGGAGAAATAAATGTTGGGACCACTTTGTGATGGACAAAGTAGCAGATAAATATGAGTCCCACACACAAGGGTATGCGTAGTCCCATTCCAGATTCATTCGAAAATGGTGTCCTCTCATAACATATTTTCATATTTTCACTGTTGAGGGTTTGGGGACTGAGTAGTACCCCCTCCCCATTGTGTTGGTTGATCATACTTTTATTATGCTGCACATTTAGAATGATACACTGATTTCTTCAGCATTGTAAATTAGGTGATCAGAAGACTCCAGGAAAGCAAGGTGTTCATTGCACATTTGGAAATGCAAAGTGAAAAACGAAAGCACTTTGCAATTAGTTTGGGACTGTCAAAGGCATCCACAGATCTTGTGAAAAGACAGTCAGTTGGAAACTAGAAAACACTTGACATTGCAAAAAGTAAAACCAGATTAAATGTCAGCTAAAATGTGTAGAATGGCCACACTCAGGTTTTGGGGGACAAAAGAACAGAAGTACATGAGAAGAGCATTGCTGGATCAGACCAAAGGACCATCAAGTCCAGCAATCTGCTCACACAGTGGCCACCCAGCTGCTTCTTGGAGGCTGACTGCAATCCATGCTCCCCAGGAACAGATAGTTGGGGGCATACTGATTCTGGTACTGGAGAGAGTACATATCCATCATAACTAGTAGCCCATGGGTAGCCCCAACCCACATGAATTTGTCCAATCAACTTGGGAAAGGAGGGAAGGTTTTGTGTGAGCTGCACACATAATAAATACACAAATGACAAGTTTTTCCAAACCCAAATGCGAACGTGCTACTTTAATCCCAGACTAAAAAACTGATTGCCATTTTGGGGTCAGGAAGCAATTTTTCTCCAGGTCAGTTTGGATGAAGATCATGGAGAGTTTTTGTCATCTTCTGGGCATGGAACAATGCTCACTGGGGGTATGGAGGGGAAGTTATTTGTGTATTTCTTGCATTGGGCAGGGGGTTGGACTAGATGACCCTGGAGGTCCTTCCAACTCTATGATTACATGATTCTACTTTGAACATATTGTAACAGGGAAATAAATGCCACAGAAGAACACATAGACCCCATCCCCTAAATTGTACTGATTATAATAGAATATACATTTGGGATACAGACATAAAATTTATTTTTTTGTTTTTATTAAGTATCCTCTTATATTCAGTTCAGGTCTTACTAAAATAATGTAGCATTTTGGGGAAAAGATGCAAACCAGTAGCCCAGCACTGGAGGTTAAGATGGAGAAGATTTCCACAGCCACCATTGATTTTCCCTTGATGCTCAAGTAGGTCGGAACAAAGGACACCCAAACACTACAAAAGACCAACATGCTAAAGGTGATGAATTTGGCTTCGTTGAAACTGTTGGGTAACTTCCTGGCTAAAAAAGCCACAGTGAAGCTGATGATGGCAAGAAAGCCCAGAAAACTCAGAACAGAGTAAAAAAATGTGACTGATCCTTCATTACATTCCAGCACAATTTTCTCAGTCATTGAGTGCATGTCAACATCTGGGAAGGGGGGAGATGTTGCAAGCCACACAGTACAAATAGTAATTTGGAAAAGGGAACATGAAATGACAATGGAACTGGACAGCTTTATCCCTACCCATCTCCTGATTTTGGATCCTGGCTTTGAGGCCATGAAAGCCAGAACAACAATGACAGTTTTGGCCAACACACAAGAAACAGCCACTGAGAAGATGATGCCAAAAGTTGTTTGTCGAAGGAGACAGGTCACCTTCTTAGGCTGGCCAATGAACATCAAAACACAGAGGAAGGAGAGCAGGAGGGAGATGAGGAGAGTGTAGGTGAGTTCCCGGTTGTTGGCTTTGACTAAGGGAGTGTCTCGGTACTTAATAAAGATCTTGAGCACGAAAGCTGTGATGAAAGAGAAGCAAAAAGCAAGAGTGGCCAAACTGATCCCCAAAGGTTCTTCATAAGACAAGAAGCTTATATCTTTTGGCAGGCATACATTCTGGTCTTTATTTGGATACTGACCTTCAGGACACTCAAAACATTCATTCATATCTGAAAAACAAAACATCTGATTGTGTACTTGGAAGTACCATGCAGAGTTCATTGCAATGTGACAAAGTGTTCAAGGAGTGTGCTCAGTGAAAGCCAGGAAACTAAGTTTTCTAGCTTTACCCTTCATGATACAAAGAAGGACTTAGGTTTAATGGTGCACCCAAAGCACTCAAGAATTTTGGAAACGGTGCCAAAGGGCTTTTTGTCCAACTGAAAGTATCACAAACTAGACTGTTGACTCTGCATATCTGGATATGGTGTCCTTTTTTCTTTTTCCCTCCCTCCAGAGGTACTTTTTGCAAGAGCACTTGCATATCTGGGCATACTGAATATTATTTTCCTTTGTGATACAAACCACTGGATCAAGGAGAAATGCTTTCAGTTTTAAGGAGCTGAGGCTGCCATCCTATGAACACCTTCCTGGAAGTAAGCACAGCAGAATAAAATTGGACTTTCTTTTGAGTAGACCTGTTTTGGATTGCTCCAAGTGTCTATTATATGGGCATATCTATTGAATTACAAACAATATATCTGATACTGGAATTTCTTACCTTTTTCACTTGAAATCTTCCCTGGTGGACATGCAAGGCAATCATAGCAGCAAAATGGCTTCCCTTCCTTCTTTATCTTGCTATAACCAGAATGACAGTTCTCATTACAAACAGAAAGGGGCTGTGCCTGGCCAAAATGGAAAATATGTATGAAATATTATTCAAAATGTATACGTCCTTGGTTGAACTAATGTGAAAAATGGATTGGTATGGCATGACATCATGGCTCCTGCAAAATATTTGGAGTGCAAGGGGCAGTTGAATGTTTTGTTGTTATTAGGGTCATAAGATCATAAGAAAAGCCCTGCTGGATCAGACCAGCGGTCCATCTAGTCCAGCATCCTGTCTCACACAGTGGCCAACCATATAAAGAACAACAGTAGTACTGTAACAGTAGCACTAAAGTTATTAAATAAATCTAGAAGCAAGAGACTGTGAAGGACACCCGAGAAGACAACGGGCATTAGCCGTCCCCTCCCGAACCAACAGAGTCAACAGCAGAGAGGAAGATAAAAACCAACAATTGAAGCACAATATCATTAAGGTTACTTTAAAGGGGTGGATTGAGATATTAAAATAATAAGGTATAAAAAAATGACAGCTCTGAGATAATAAGAGAGTATTTCTTTACACAGGAGTATTGCTTTAAGGCAGCCATTTAAAACATTTACCAAATGAGAATAAAGTGGGAAAGGGAGAGGAGCAAACATAAAGTACCACAAAAGAGCATCAATGCTACTCTCTTTTTTTTCTTTTGTGCCTATTTAAGATAAGCAAAATACCTGAGGAGAGTTGGCAGATCGGTGGAGACAGAGATGCATGCCATTGAGGAAGAGAGAGGAGGAGAGAGGGTGAGTAAAATGGAGCTGACAGGATGAGATAGTGTGTGAGTGTGCCAGCGCTTTGATGGGCCAGGTGGAGTCGAGTGGCAGAGGTGTGGAGTGCAGTGGAGAGGTGTCGAGGGGAGAGTGTGCGTGGAGAGTGGAGATGACAGGAGAGGAGAATGTAGCAGAGCAGAGCTGAACTGAACTGAAGGGAACCAAGTGGAAAAGGAGGAGCCAAGAGACGAAGGTCCAATAAAATGGATGGAACCAAAGAAAAAGACCAAGAGACAAACTGAAGGAAAAGAGAGAAGCACAACATAGCAAAGGGAGACAGAAATTAGTGATGGACCAGAAATAGAAATTACGAAATAAGACTGTAAATCAAATAATATAATACAGTATAAGAAATACTAGGGGAACAGAGAAAGAAAGAAGAATAGGAAAATATACGAAGAGCGAAAGAAAATAAAAAGTCACTAAATAGAGGATAGGTGTAAGAAAACAAGATACACATTAGAACATATTAGAAAAAATGAATGGCCACAGGGAATAGCGGATCAAGTGGAACGAGAAAAGTGTCTGTAAAATCACCTGGGCAGGCCAATCGACAGAGTGTATTAAAATTTAGCACAATGAGCATAACACAATTAAACATAAAGGAACTTAAAAAATAATCCAAGAAAGCATAGCAGCATAAATAAAAAAGTTTGCTGAAGTAAATCTACCACCATTAATTAAACAAGAAATAGAGTGAAAAGTGAAAATAAGTAGGAAATCCTAAAAATAGCAACTGCTAATAGTGAGATTGAAGAAAAAGTACAGGAAATAGTACAAAAAATTCAAGAAGTAAGGACCAAAACAGATGGAATTGAGGAAATGTTAATGGGATTAGAGATGGATAAGGCATCTCTAATTATAAGATGTCAAAATATACCAGAATCTATTGAGAAAAAATTAAAAGAAGAAATGATAAAAAATATTTCTGAACAATTAAAGATAGGAACATATGATGAAATAAAGAGAGAAATTGACCAAGTATACAGGAAAAACAGCTCTTATGCCAGGAGAAACAAAACCCCGAGGGAAGTGTACATGAAATTTACAAGAAGGTAGATGAGGGATAAAATTCTTAAGTAAGCAAATGTGGCAAAGCTGATGATACAAGATTCAGAAGTTAAATTTCTAAAAGACATCCCATGGAGAATTAGGGAGAAAAGACAGAATTACACAATGATAACAAGACTGGAGCTGTGGTCGCTCAAGTGGTTAAGACGCTGAACTGCAGGCTGTGGAAGATCGGTAGTTCAGCAGTTCGAGACCCGGGTACCACATGACGGAGTGAGCTCCCATCTCTAGTTCCAGCTCCTGCCAACCTAGCAGTTCGAAAGCAAGAAATTGGAAGTAGATAAATTGGTACCACTTCGGTGGGAAGGTAACAGAGTTCCGTGCACCTTGGTGTTTAGTCATGCCGGCCACATGACCACGGAAATGTCTTCAGACAGCGCTGGCTCTTCGGCTTTGAAACGGAGATGAGCACTGCAACCCTAGCGTCAGATTCAACTGGCTTTCAAGCAAGGGAACCTTTACCTTTTAACAAGATTACTGAGAGAAAATGATATTTCTTACATATGGCTTGTACCAGAAGGTTTTCTATTTAATTATGAAGGAAGAAGGCAGAGAATTGACTTGATTTTTAAGGTAGAAGACTTCTTAGATAGATATGGGGAACATTTAGGGTGGCAGAATGATGAGGAAAGTGAAAAAGAGAAAGACGATAGAACATAAAATGCAGAAAAAGAAAGAAAAAGAAAAATCTAGGAGAGGGAAAAGGTCTACAACATCACAAATACTGACGAGATATCAATACAGAGCTAAAGAACAGGAATAAGGAAAGAAAAATTAGGATGGAGAAGACAAAACAACTTAAAATATTCTCAGTTAATATTAATGGTTTAAATAGCCCATCAAAAAGACGAAGAACATTTAATCAATTAGCCAAACTACAGATAGAAGTTATATGTCTACAAGAAACACACATTAAGAAAAAGGATGAGAAATATCTAGAAAATAGAAAATTAAGCAAATTATATACAGCATCACATACTCAAAAGAAAAGAGGTGTAGCAATCTGTGTAAAAGAACAATTATGTCCTGAAGTTATATATGCGTCAGAGGATGGCAGAATACTAGCAATCTCAGTTATGAGACAAAATAAGAAAACTGTAATAATAAATATTTATGCACCAAACCAAAGCCAAGAAAATTCTTTAAAATACTAAGAGATGTGGTAACAATCCATAACCAGATGGAAATATGCATAATAGGGGATTATAATGCGGTATTAGATGCGAAAAAAGATAGCAAATCACAAGTGAAAAAGAAAAGATCGGGAAATATTTTACCAAGAAATTTCTTTGAGTTAGTAGAAGAATATAGCATGGTTGATGCATGGAGAATAAGAAATATGGAAAAGAAAAACTACACATTCTACTCAGCCAGGCATAATTCCTGGTGTAGAATTGATATGGTATGGATCACAACGACATTAGTAACAGAAATAATAGATGTAGATATTTTACCCAATACATTCGCAGATCACAGACCAATAATGCTAACACTTTGAGACGGAAGATGAATAAAGACTTATTAAGAGACAAAAAGTTTAATAAAAAACCAGAAGAAAATAAAAGGTTTTTAAAAATAACATACAACCTGAAACATCTATACAAATAGTCTGGGAAACACTTAAAGCATTTTTAGGGGGCTGGTTTATTAATCAAGATGCATGGGAAAAGAAACAAAAAAACCCAGCAGTATGAAAAATTAGTGAAATTAATACAGAAAGAAGAAGATAAGCTAAAAAAGAGAAACATGACTTTGAAAAAATAAAGTCAAATTTAAGAATGCTGCTGCATCAAATAAACATCATATTGACACAAGAAATAGCCAAAAACATAGAATACACCAAACAATATCACTTTGAGAATGCAAATAAACCAACAAGGTGGTTGGCGTATGAATTAAGAAAAGAAAGGGGGGAAAGACAAAACACTGAAACGGGAGGAAAATAGGGGAGGAAAAACATAACTTAATGGAGATGAAGAATATAGTGGAAAACCTTCATAAAAAACTATATCAACAAAATGAGCAAGAGAAAGATTTAATAAAAGAATATATTAGCAGTAAAATATAAGGACCTTCAAAGATGATCAAATATTAATTTTAAATGAACCAATTACAGTATGTGAAATCACAGAAGCAATAAAGAAACAGAAGAAAAATAAAATTCCAGGACCAGATGGAATACCAGTTGAAATATATCGGAGATATGAAGAACAGATTTTATTACCACTAAAATAGTTTTTTTTTAAATATCAAAAACTGAAAAACTTCCAGACTCATGGAATCAAGCATTAATAACATTGATTCCTAAACCAAATACGGAAGATAAGGAAATTAAAAATTTTAGACCGATATCTTTATTAAACACGGATTATAAAATATTTGCCACAATAATTGCTACAAGAATGAAGAAAGTGTTAATGCAGATAATTCATCAAGATCAAGCTGGATTCCTCCCCAAAAGACAAATTAAAAGTATTATCAGAACGATAATTAATGTGCTAGAGTATTATGAAGTACATTCATATAAATTAATGGTGTTAATATTTTTAGACACTGAAAAAGCGTTTGATAATATAAATTGGGAATTCTTGCTACAAAAGTTAGAAGCTTGGAAATGTGGAGCAAATTTTTTAACAACAATAAAGGTGATTTATAAAACACAAGTAGCGAAAATAATAATAAACAGAGATATGACACAAGAGATTCAAATACAAAAGGGTAGAAGACAAGGATTCCCATTATCTCCACTTCTGTTTATATTTGCATTGGAAACACTAAGTGACTAAATAAGATAGTGTGATCAAATTAAAGGACTTCAGATAAAAGGAGAGGAATTCAAGCTACAAGCGTTTGCAGATGATTTGGTGATTATATTAGAAGACCCGATAAGATCTAAAGCATCTTATGAGGATAATTCAAGACTACAATAAAGCAGCAGGACTTAAAATTAATTTTTAAAAAACATATTAACAAAGAACTGTACAGAACAACAAATGAATCAAATTCAGACGGCATATAACATGAAAATAGTAAACAAGGTCAAATATTTAGGAATTACAATTTCTAATAGAAATATCACATTAACAGAAGATAATTATAATAAATTACTATTAGAAATTAAAAGGGACTTTCAAAAATGGAAAGATTTAAAATATCATTCATGGGGAAAATAGCTATAGTAAAGATTAATATTCTTCCTCAATTTCTCTTTTTGGCACAGAACATCCCAGTATTAAGAAATACAAAGTGTTTTCATGAACTAGATAAAATTCAGTAGTCAATTCACCTGGGACAACAAGGAACCTAGGATTAAAAGAAAAGTAATGCAGGATAAAAAAGAGAGAGGTGGTTTTGTTTTTTTCAAACTGGAATTTGTATTATAAAGCAGCTGCATTAAGCTGGATAAAGGAATGGATAACGCTAGAAAATACCAGGCTTCTAAATCTGGAAGGATTTAATTTACCTATGGGATGGCATACATACATGTGGTATGAAGAGGAAAAATCATCACAAGCTTTAAGCAACATACAATAAGAGGCCCATTGATGAAAATATGGAAAGAAACAAAAAGTCATTTCTATGACAAAATCCCAAAATGGGTATCCCCTCTAGAGGCACTCATAAAACCGACGTTATATAACAAAAACAAGAGAGTGACATATGAAAGAACTGGCCACACAGAATATTAGGCTCCCATGGTGGGAAAATATTCAATTAAAGACAAGAATCAACAAGGATAAAAAAGTAGGATTTTACAGTAGCAATAATAACTTAGAAAAGATATGGCTCTCATCAAATGACAAACTAATCCAAAAGCTATATAACTTTCTACTAACTGATTATTTACAAGATGAAACAGTTAAAACAACCATGATAGCATGGATGAAAGATCTAGAGTATAATATAGACATAGACCAATGGACTAAAATTTGGAAATCAGTGAAACTGATGAGAGCCATACCATATAAAGAAAATATATTTAAAATATTCCATAGGTAGCACTGGACACCAGATAAAATAGCAAAATGCTATGTGAACAGCAATAGAAACTGTTGGAAATGTAAAAAAAATGTTGGCACGTATTTTCACATGTGGTGGAGATGTGAAAAAATACAAAAGTATTGGTGCAAAATATATAATATAGTGAAAGAACTAACAGGACTAGAAATACTGTTTGTACCAGAAACATGTTTATTAAATATATTTCCAGAACAATGTAAGAAGGAAAATTTATATATAATAACGGTCCCGGTCACACGGGCAGGAAAATTCGGGGGGGAAACGTGGCTGTTAGCCCTGGGGCTAAAAACCGTGCAGTTGCTTGATCAGACCTACCGATCGAGGTCCCGTGGAGGTCCCGTGGTAGGGGGGAGGTGCCAATCACTCCACTGTCCTGTGGCGTGGCAAAGAAGCAGGGCACGGGGCAAACGGGTTGGTTGTTTTTTTATTTAAACTCAAATGTGTGCATGCTCCCGACCCTTGGGTGTGTGTGCGCATCCGTGGAGACTTTGAAAAAAAAATTCCCGAGGGGACATGGGCGGGCGCCGGAACTACCTCCGGAAACGCAATCAGACGCCCGCCCTTGCCCCGCAGTTTCAGGAAACTAGTACCTCCGAGGTACTAGTTTTTTACTGCGCGTCTTCGGCGGGAAGCCTTGGTTGCGCCACGGGAGCCCGACGCTTCCCAGATGTGCCGGTGAGATCACGCCCGGAAACTCCGCCTATCTTCCGTCCCTCTAGCGTGCCTAGTTTGTGACCGCAGCCAACGTATATCTTTACAGCGGCAAGAATAATGTTAGCAAAATGCTGGAAATCAGATATAATACCAACCAGGACGTATATGAGAAAAGATGGGGGGAAATGTATGTATGGTTGAATAATAGGATGTGAAAAAATGACTCACGATAATGTAACTGTAAATTTGCTAAAGGCTGTTTAAAACGTTGGAAAATTACAAATAAAAAGACAATTTTTTTTTGAAAATCTTTATATACCTTCAAATTCTATCTTAGCCACTTTGGATGTATCTGCATTATACACAAAAAGCCCAATGAAGTGGGACATATAATATTAGAAAATATTATAGAATCACAAAATCTGAAGGAGCAATTAATCCATTTTTGATTGTATTCATTATTATTATTGTGACGACCTCTTATCTGGGGAGGTCTGGTTTACCTTTAAAAGTTCTTATGTTTTATTTTCCAATGGGTAATCTGGCTGCCACCAGGGAAATGTAGGCTTTCCCACACCTATTTCTATAATATTTTCTTCTTCTGGTTTTGGTATTGTGACCCAGGGTCTGGGCTTTCGAAGGACTATGTGTTTCCTGAGAAGAATTTCGTTCAGAACTGTTATCTTAAATAAAAGTAGATTTATTTGATGTTTCACACACTTTTCCCTCTTACTGACAGGGATCTGGGCATGTCGCTTCGTAACAATATTTTCCTTTGACCATATATGGTTACTGTTTCTTTATGCTTTAACTTTTCATAACACACACAAGACTTCTCTCTCTCAGACCTTAAAATGAACAAACTGCTTAATTCTTTTACTAGACAGAACTTATAACAACTGCTTTCACACAGCACTCTCTGCTGACTCTTTTTCCAACAGACATCTCTATCTAACCGTCACCCTTCAACTGCCACTCTTGACTAACATATCGGTTCATCCACACAGCATCCATTCCAAAATCCCTCTCCCTCTCTGTCACTCACCAACCATATCACTTGCTTGAGTCCAGCACTCTAGAAAATCACAGCCATGCAAACCAACCTTTTAAAGTCACACACACACAAAACATGAAATCGTTACAATTATAATTAATTATAAATAATTAATTGTACAAAATATTTGTGGATGACATTCTGATGGTATTTACAGACGAGGTAAAATTTGTGCAATTTTTTAATTGGATAAATACTTTGCATCCAACTATTAAATTTGTCAGTAAGCATCATCACGAACATATACATTTTTAGACACTATCATTTTGATAGGATCCAATCAAAAGTTGTTCATCAGCACCTTTCATAAACCAGTGGACAAAAATTCATATTTGAATTATAAATAATTTCATCCACCACAACTAAAAAACAATATCCCATTTGGACTACTTTTACATTTAAAAAAGAATTCTACTCTTACCAGTGATTTTCCCAGAGAAGCTGGGATTTTACTTCAACATTTTTCTAAGAAAGGTTATCCCTTTTAGATACTGCATCAGGCAAAACATCATCTTGGGAAGGTAAGCAATTGTTAAAACAGAAAGTTCAAAATACTTCTCATTACAATGTGCATTTCAGTATTCTTTATGAACATGTCCTATTAAAAATATTGTGCATAAATATTGGCATATATTGTCAGATACCCCTGGATGCACACAAAACCTTTGATGGAATTAAGGAAAAGAAGGAATCTAAGTAATATGTTAATTAGATCCAACTGTAGTGAGGTTCCTAAACCATTGTTATCTAATATAGCTCACTACCATTGTGGAAGAGGATGTCAGGTTTGCCATCTAGGTACTGCAACAAAAGAATCTCACCACTCTAAAGCGTTGGGCTCATGAAAACTGTCACAATACACAAACTGCAACTCAAATAACATAATATATTGTGTTATATGCAAATGTAATTTATTATACATAGGTATGAGTACCTGACCTGTTAAAATTAACATCCAATAACATATTTCTTAAATAAAAAAATAGAATTCAGAATGCACCAATGGTAAATCATTTCCTGCGGATTCCACATGCTCCTGAAGACTTTAAATTTTTAGTTTTATTTCAGTTTCATTCACACATATATATTATGAACACTTTTCAAGTGTTACTACAGAAGGAGGCTGTACCAGTCATTAAGAGATAAAAAGACAGCCAACGTACAGCGTTGGCATTTGCCTCATTTTACATCTCTGTACCATAAGATTCTGCCCTTTGCTGGAATCCATCAGGTGTTGTTTGATCAACCTGTGCTAATTCATCAGGATACTGCTATACTTGCTGTTTTTTCACTACGTTCCTTTTACATAAAAAAGGTAACGGTTCCCTTGCTCGAAAGCCAGTTGAGTCCGACTCTAGGGTTGCGGTGCTCATCTCCGTTTCAAAGCCGAAGAGCCAGCGCTGTCCGAAGACATTTCCGTGGTCATGTGGCCGGCATGACTAAACACCAAAGCGCACAGAATGCTGTTACCTTCCCAGCGAAGTGGTACCTATTTATCTACTTGCAATTTCTTGCTTTCAAACTGCTAGGTTGGCAGGAGCTGGAACTAGAGACGGGAGCTCACTCCGTCATGCGGCAACTTAGGTCTTTTACATACTTGAATATATATTCCCCCTTGAAGGCACACAAAAGATCCTGATGACATAACAACCAAAAACTCTGTCAAGTATCATTTTTTCAATGTTTTCCCTAACAATAATTTCAGAAGAAAATGATTGTTTGCCTGATTCTCACTGAATCAACAGAACAAACACAGAGAACAATTTCCATATATGACCATTTTACTGCTGATTCAATACTGGGTAAATTCCTTGACATATCCCAGGGCATTCAAAAATCATACCTGGTTGAACACAGTGGGCCATACAATGGCTTTGTCATGAATGATGATTGTTTTGTCTGAGAGAGCCCTTGAGTCTGTCTTTCCCACTTTGACTCTAAGGAAGGACTGGTTCGGGAATGTGACCCAGCTGACAATATCAAGTTCAGTTACTAGTTCCCCATTGTGGTCAAAGGAAATCCTTTCCCCAGCACTGTTGTTGAAGGAAATACTTCTCAGAAAGCGGTTGAGCTAAATGGACAGAAAAAGCAAATCACTAATTCATAAGGATAAGTACTACATGCAAATATGTAATATGCTGATACACTTTCAAACAAGAGAACTTGTGCTATTTGTTCTCCTTAAACATATGTTCTTACTCGCAACTGGGTGATTTAGAAAATTTAAGACATCAATGTCACAAATTCAAAACAAATACAAACTAGAAAACACTAATGGCAGCCTAAAAACTAAGCCTCGTATGGTGCTGGAAATGGCTCTCAAGTTGCAGGCAAACTATGGCGACCTTTTAGGGTTTTCCAGGCAAGAGAGGAATAGAGGTGGTTTGCAGTTGCCTGCCTCTGGCCCCGTTCATACGAGGCAGTTTGGGCCGGGAGCGGGCCAGATCGGAAGTGTGGCAAACGGGAGCGATCCGACGTCAACATCTGCCTGGCGTCGCGCTCCCGCCTCCGATCCGGCCCTTTTCCCATTGATGCGCTGCAAAAATGAACCACCTACCTTAGGTGGTTCATCCGTTTGGGCCGCATCTTCCTGGCCGTGGGATCGGCGGCGCGTCTTGCCGCCGCCGCATCCCCGGCCCCCGGTCGAACTGCGCATGCCCGAGCATGCGCAGTTCGGCAGCCTCCCCCTCCCACTCGCCTCTTTCTCCCCGGCATCTGATCGTGCCGGGGAGCAACGGCGCGCTGCTAACGGGATCCGTGGGATCCCGCTGAGGCATTTCTTTTTTGGCGCGGCTTTTAAAAGCCGCGCTTCTCCTCGTTTTTTCCCTGCCGTGTGGCAGGGGCCTCTGTGTAGCAATACTTAACTTCCTGAGTTGTCTCCTATGCAACTACTAACCAAGGACAATTCAGATTAGCATCTAAGGTCTGATGAGGTTTGGCTAGCCTTGGCCATTGAGGTCAGGGCAAGCCCCATAACCCCCCCCCCAATATAGTGGTAAAACTAAACAAATCTTTAAGCCGCTTTGAACCCTCCTGGTTGGCAAGAATGAAGAGTTAAAGCTAGTTTCATCAATAAAACCATTAGAACAGAAAACTCTAACATCAAGCTCTCAAATAACAGAACCAATGAATCTGTATAAGGTAACAATAAACAACAAGATGGGTAGCCGTGTTAGTCTGTCCATAGCAGCAGAAAAGAGCAAGAGTCCAGGAGCACCTTAAAAACTAACAAAACATGTGGCAGGGTATGAGCTTTCCTGAGTCACTGCTCACCTTCAGATTCTAAATATCTTAAAGGGTCTCCTTAAGGAGAGCCAGTTTGGTGTAGTGGTTAAGTGCGTGGACTCTAATCTGGGAGAACTGGGTCTGATTCCCCACTCCTCCACTTGCACCTGCTGGATGACCTTGGGCAAGCCATAGTTCTGGCACAGCTGTTCTTGAAAAAGAGCAGTTTCTGTCACAGCTCTCTCCATTCCACCTACCTCACAGGGTGTCTGTTGTGGGGAGGGGAAGGGAAAGGAATTTCTGAGCCGCTCTGAGACACCTTTGGGTAGTGAAGGGCGGGGTATAAATCCAATCTCCTCCTCCTCCTCCTCCTTGTTGGATCCCCAGGCATTCGAAATAACTCCACGTTTGGATCAAAGTAAGGTTTATTTCAAAGCGATGGTTCAAACAGGAACAAGGACATTGTTAGGAATAACTGCGAATACACATGATCAACATAATAAAGAGATTTGATCCAGGTGAGGGCCAATGAGCCCAGTTCCCGCTGGCGGGAATAGAACTTAGAAACGCGCGCCCATTTCATGGGAACATAACAGTTCTACACAATCAACACAGGTTCAGTTCACAGGCTAGATACCCATAACAAGCCGAGCGAAGCACCGACTCCCACCACCAGCTGCATGACCTTGGCCAGTTCCGCAAAGTACAGAGTAAGCAGAAGGAAGCAAAAGAACCCGGGGGGGGGGAATGTTACAAGAAGCGTTAAGCAGGTAACACCAGATACAATGGCAGCTAGCTGACACTCCTCCTCCTCCTCCTCCTCTTCTTCTTCTTCAGGACCATCTGAAGAAGTGAGCAATGACTCACAAAAGGTCATACCCTGCCACATATTTTATTAGTCTTTAAGGTTCTACTGAACTCTTGCTCTTTTCTACTAATATAAGAAATTTAAAACATCTGTGTTATAGAAAGAATCAGTTATACTACATCTTTTTTGGCCATAGGCAAGAGCCCAATAATCATGTTTTGTGTCAGGAGATAAAGTGGAGTGTGGCAAAGGACCTTCAGGTGTTCTTGGATGGTTCATCTCTCCTTGAACTAGGCTTCCAAAACAGCAACAACCATGGATTGCTTCAAGGAGTGGGACTTTGTTACACTAAACACTCTGGATGTGTACTACTATTCTGGGAAATCACAGTATCAACCCAAACCAGCTTTTTCTGTATATATATATATTGGCTTGTCCATTTCGTTAGGCACACCTCTAGTTATAAGTGATTAACAAATAAATTGTACTGTCTGAGAAGAACAAATGCAGTAAGAGTCTGTAACGGATTGCACTTTTTAAGAGGCTTAGAAGTGCTGTGATCAAGATGAAATGGAATCCATACAAGAAAAAAGTGAAGTTGGTTGGAGACCCTGATGTCCCAGTGGGGATGAATCTGACACTTTGGGGTGGGGTGGATGAAATTATGTACGAGTGAGCAAGTGAAGATTTAGAGGGATGCTCTTGGACCCATCCTTGCTGAAATATTTTGTGGTAACTTGTTCTTGTGGTGGTTTGTTAGCCATCATAAATTTGTGGAGAAAATGCGGGGTACAACAAAGTGCATTTAACAAATAAGTGTATATGCTTAGAATGTCACCTGCCACAATTGTTGGTCTAGATGATTCCATCGCTCACCATATACTGTGGCTCTATATTTGAATCTGAAGGACAGCATGTTCTGCAAAGCACATACCACAGCATAAACACAATTATAGATGCTGTAGCTATGAGCAGTTGTGATTGTTTCAAAAACAGATTTGGGGAGAGCCTCCAGCTTCTCCTCTCCAGTGCACATTTCTCCATTCTTGTTGTCTACCATGGAGGTTGGGAATGAACACAGAAATGCCTGTTGCCAGAAGGGCCTGATGAAGCCATCTTCTTTTTCAGAGGTAAGATTTTTCTCCTGAATAAATTTCTGGAATCCTGAGAGCTCCGCTGAATGAATTGCAAAGGATAGGGCGCCATGGACAAAAGCGATGTCCCAGTTTCTTTGAAAGGGTAGTGAGGTGAAGTCCATCTGAGCTGTCAAAATCCAGATTTTACCTGTTGTCTTAACTGCTCTATCCTCAAGTTCTGGGAGCTGAAGGAAAAATCTTAAAATTATCATGGTGTGAATTTCACCATGTAGGACCAGAGCTTTGGCGGTGCTTCCCATAACAAATGTGTATGTTTTGACTGCCTCTGCCAATGTTTCAGCAATTTCATTAGAAAATTTTATTGGTGGCATTGTTACTATGAAGTCAAAGCAGATGCCATTCTGGGATAGCATAGGAACCATATCCTGTACAAATTGTTCTCCAGTCTCATCGTTCAGATAAATCACCCCAATCCATGTCCACCTGAAATACAGCAATAAATGAAGAATCCCCAAATTCTGATGGGTCTGATTTGGGAACATATGGAGGAAGAAAACAGATTGTGTTTTGTTTTCCATCTTTGGTGCAGAACCATATGAAATCTAGAGAAAATGAAGAGAAAAAAAAGGAAAGAGATTTCAAAACTAAAGTTAGTGTCTATTTGGTATCCAAATCACAGTACTGAATGTATAACTTGGCCTGTCAAGTAAAGTCATCTTTTATATTAATGTAGCCCAAGATGAGATACAATGGCTCTAAAATCTTATACCATTGGTACACACACACACAAACGCATTAACTAAGTACCAAGGAATGTAAGGAATTCTCTTCCAGGTACTGTCTTCCATCTTTAAGTTGCACATGAGTTGTATAGATCCATATGGGGATGCTAGTTTTTGTCTCCTAATCATATTCTAAATAAGCAGAAAAGTGTTAAGAGCTTGTTAACGTTTCATTCATCTTCACCTTACCTGTGGAATCTTGTAGATGCAGAGAATGGCTGCCGTAAAGAGAGAAATGTCAGAGTTCGGTCCTGCGATGACTGCTACTGGATGGTTCTTGGCATCACACTTGTAGTTGGGAATTAATCTGCCATGTGTGGAGAGAAGTTCCACTGAAGCGAGACAGGTCCAACTTGCAGTGAAATGGCTGTTGTAGATGTCAAAGCCCAGAGTGATGTTCGGTAAGATCAGGGGATTTTCATTGATCTCTCTTACAGCAAAATCCAAGGCCAGAATGTGCTGGTAGTTCTGAGTCAGGAACCTGCAAGAAAAGCAGACAAATTCAAGCTGAACATGAAGTTTCCTTGTCTCTGATTCCAGCCCAGCATAACAGATATCAATGGTTATCTTTAATCTAGACACTAGAAAGATGTAGAACACAAATACCTCAATGCTCAGACAAGATCAAAAATATCCTTTCCCCCAGGAAAGAAGGCATAAAAATTCTCTAAACAGTAAATAAATATCTTGCTTGGAATAATCAGAATGCGAAAAAAGAAACGCAAAAAAAAAAAAAGAATGACACACATACTCGTTTAGAGAAATCAGATTAACTCTTTCCCAGCTACATATCTTATCCTTAACTAGTAGACTTGAATGTTGAGTATCTCTTGGTGCAATAGAGGATGACAGAGGAGACACAATTCTGCTGAACAAATCTTGAAAAGTGGCTAATGTAATAAACTTTGTTCTAAAATAACCCTGAAAAGCATGAAAGAAGAAATCCCCACATATCCACAACACCTAGGCTCGGAGATCAAGCATGCAAAAATAAAAAGTGAAGAAAACACAGTGCCAACCACTTTCCAGCTCAATGAATCTCAATCATGTCTACATGAACGATTTGGTGAAAAAAGAGCAGTTTCTTACAAAAGGTCGTCAAACAGTTCCTGAGAGGGACATTTTTGAAATGTTACTGGACTGGGATATATAAAGATTTGGGACATAATGCCAGCAAGGATGAGGTCCCCTGATCTGTAGTATTTGTGAAGGATAGGACGAGGCTCTCTAATGGGGAATTTTACAGGAACCTTACAGATTGCCAGTGGCACTAGCACTAATTTCAGCACCACAAAAACCACCATCTTAGGTGGAAAATTTCCTTTGGGGCACCAATACAACTGTTCTAACAATGTCCCTGAGTATCCTGACATGAATGATCATGCAGCTTGACAGTAATTCAGTCTTTCAGTGTCAGGGCTCAGAACAATGCCCTTGCTGTGAATGACTGAAGGAATATTAATAGCATCCTTCATGTCTGAATAACAGTTTTTCTAGCAGCTGCTGGCTGTCTCTGGGGACCTGGAATAGATGCAGAAGTAATTGTGGTTAATTTGATAACTGCAGGGTGATAATCTATCCAGAAATACTGCAGAAAAACACACACCATTCTAATGTTATTTTCCTCATTTGGATTTTTTTGGGGGGATTAGTATTATTATTACTTCTATCATGCCATCAAAATGTGTGGATATTTACAAGGAAGCAGCACCCTGACACAGTGACCTTGCAATGGAAAGTGTCATGATCAAATACACTGAATTGATGCCAGTGATCCCTGCAGTTTTGCCAGTCTGCCACTTTGGGGCAGGCGATGTCCCATTCCTTGCTCTGAGTGGCAACAGGAGAAAACTAAAATACGTAATGGCCATCAGAAATGCTGTGATGTCATTTCTGGGGAAAACCTAGAAATAGCATCATACCTGTCTAGGAAACGCTGGAGACCAGTGTTCCCTCTAAGCTGAGTTAGTGTGAGCTAGCTCATAGTTTTTTAGCCTCTGGCTCACACATTTTTATCTTAGCTCAGAAAGGATGGCTCCAGAACAAACTAATTTGTGCAGGAGCCAAACCACTTGCTCACAAATTTAATGCCAGTAGCTTACCAAGTAGAATTTTTGCTCACAAGACTCCAGAGCTTAGAGGGAACATTGGCTGGAGACTATGGTAAAACTGTCAAGTTTCTAGTGCTTCCTAGAGAGAACTAACATCACTTCCAGGTTTTACATCAGAAGTGATGTTAGTCCTTTCTAGGAATTGTCAGAAACTCTATTGCTTTGTCATAGGGTTTCCATAAGTGACATTGTTCCATCTTTTGCTTTTCCTAGGCATGTTGCTGATTTTCTCCTGCTCTGACCAACATGGTCTGTAGCTCGGTCACATAGCTCACGGTGTCTTCTTGTTCCAATTACCACTTCCTTCCCATGTATCTGCTATGAGGTCTAGTGGGCCTTGAACACAAAGTCTGAGGAGGAATTAAAAGGGACTGGAGTGTATTCTTTCTTGTGAGATTTTGAGGAAATTAAACAGTAGATGCTGCAATTTGTTGTCCCAGTTGTTTGGGTGATCTGCCACATAGGTCTGTATCATTCTTTGAAATGTGCCATTAAAATGTTCAGTAAGGCCATTGGTCTCAGGGTGGTAAGGTGTAGTCTTCAGAAGTGTGATACCACAATATCCAAGCATTTGGTGCATCACTTCTGCCATGAAAGAGGTGCTTAAATCAAAGATTATCTATTTTGGTAATCTCAGGCAAGAAAACACAGTCATTAAAGCCTCTGCCACTGTCTTGGCATCAGTGTTGGTTAAAGGCATTACCTCAGGAAATCTAGTAGCAAAACCCAGTAGAGTCGAAATATATTTATGACCACTCTTAGTTTTTCTATGTAAAGAGCCTATTACAGCCACTCCCACAAGCTCAAAAGGAGTTGATATAACTGGCAATGGGCAAAGTTGTGCTTTTTTTAATCTCCAGACATTCCCACAGTTTGAAATATATGGCAGGACTGGCAAAACCCAGGCCAACAGAACCTGTAGGTTAAACTTCATGTACTAATTCCAGCAATTAAAATTGATACTTCTTAGAAACCACAAGTTATTTTTGGGTTTCCTACACAGAAGAAAACTGTTTTATCATAGATAGTCTGTACAGGCGATTATCTATCAGCTGGTAGATAGAAGTCTCTATCTTTACCTCAAATTGTTTGACCTCTGAAGAAGGCCCCCGCGGGATGAAAATGTGTCAGGTCACTTGTATTTTTCCTTGTTTTCAGGTCAGTTGTACTTTGTAATGAGCATTGGGCCCTTATATGTTTTTAACTGTTTTTCTAATAAATACATGTATTTTTGTATATAATTATACACTAGGTTTTAAATATTGGCCCTTTATCAGGCTTCTTTCTTACCTTTGTGGTTCTTTGATTCCATGTATTGGGTCAAGTTTGTTTTCCCTTCCCTGTGTCTTAATGTACTTCAATGGATCATATTCCTTCAGTTACATTCGATGGGCCTTCATGCAACAGGTCTCTCTCTTTGTTCCCAATAGGCATTCTTGTCATTCGTTTTAGTACATCACTTCCCTCACAGAAACCACTCCCTTTGCCATCTATCTGCCATTATTTCCTTTGAAGGACTTTCAGGGAGGCTGGAATGACCATTTTTCAACCAAAATGACATCCAAAATTGTAGGAGAGTGGGTGTGGCCTGTCCTTTAAAGAACCCCCAGGCTTCAAGCAAAAAAGTCCTAAAGATAATCTATTTCAAAGTTTATAAACAACTAATATCTAATACATTCATACATATTCAATATGGTCCTTATATAGGACTCCTTAAACAGCTTAAATGCATTAGAATACAGCCAAACTCTCTTCCTGTACAGCCAAGGTCTTCTCTGAAGTGGTCAGTGTCTAATATATTCATACATATTCAATATGGTCCACCAAGAACTCCTTAAATACAATTCAATATATTTGAGTACAGCCAAACTCTCTTCCTGTACAGCCAAGGTCTTCTCTGAAGTGGTCAGTGTCTAATATATTCATACATATTCAATATGGTCCACCAAGAACTCCTTAAATACAATTCAATATATTTGAGTACAGCCAAACTCTCTTCCTGTACAGCCAAGGTCTTCTCTGAAGTGGTCAGTGTCTAATATATTCATACATATTCAATATGGTCCACCAAGAACTCCTTAAATACAATTCAATATATTTGAGTACAGCCAAACTCTCTTCCTGTACAGCCAAGGTCTTCTCTGAAGTGGTCAGTGTCTAATATATTCATACATATTCAATATGGTCCACCAAGAACTCCTTAAATACAATTCAATATATTTGAGTACAGCCAAACTCTCTTCCTGTACAGCCAAGGTCTTCTCTGAAGTGGTCAGTGTCTAATATATTCATACATATTCAATATGGTCCACCAAGAACTCCTTAAATACAATTCAATATATTTGAGTACAGCCAAACTCTCTTCCTGTACAGCCAAGGTCTTCTCTGAAGTGGTCAATGGCTAAAACATTCATAAATATTCAAGATGGTCCACACAGGACTCCTTAAATACAATTCAGTGTATTAGAGTACAGCCAAGCCCTCTTCCTGTACAGTCTCCTGAGTTGCATGATGGGATATGCACGGTTTCGAAGTGTCAGTGTTATTCCTAATCAGCTGAAATGTGTTGGGGTACATAGCATGAATAAAACTTATTCTCATGGCAACACTGTTCTGTTTCTTCATTCTTTGCGATCAAGCAAGACCAAAGAACTAAGGGCAGATGGAGGGAGTTCAGTGATTTCAGCAATGGAGGAAATGTTGGGAGAAAAGCTAGCTACAGAGATGGGAAAGAAATCTGAAGATTTCAGCAGTGGAAAAAGTTTGGAGGGACCTGTAGCTTCAGTGGGTTTAAATGTTTGGAAGTGACTAGACATCAAGGAGGGAAAGTATCATTGCTCCAATGCTATGCAAACTTTAAGATCCACAGCAGGCATGGATCAAAGGTGAAGCTTGAATTGTGTTTGAATTTTAGTTGAGGGCAGACAGATGCACACTTAGGGAGGAAGTGGAAGTCCAAATATTGGCTTGCTAGGTGGGATCACTGGGTGAAGCAAAATAACTTAAATAGTTTGAAGGAGATATCTGAGCAAGGGAATAACTTGGGTTTGGCTGGTTGAACAAAGGCTGAGCAGCAGCTTTTGACATTCCCTGGAAAACTGATTGAATGACAGGAGAAGTCTATAACATGAAGAGGGTTCTTGATCCAGGAAATGTGAGTGAATGACTCATGGCCAAGGATCTGAGGGATCTCAGGAGGCTTTAGAGAAATGGCTCCTAATCACAGTGCTCCTTGGAGCATGCCAGCAGCTGTGCCATTCCCATTTTGTGTGTTCAGAAAATTCCTCACAATTTGTGGTGCCCACCCAAATGCTGATATCAAACTGTATATCAAATGGGATATTTTATCAGAGCCTCTAGCAGCCAGTTCAGAGAACCTTTCATAGTGAGATGTGCAGAGGTATGGAGGGGACTTTTTTGCATGTAATGGTTAAAGAAGAGAACTTCAAATGGAGAAACAAGCAGACCTCAGTCTCTTATTCTGACTGTTCATGGTATGGAGTTCTTGGTGATCTACCACTTGATCACTCTTTTCTTATGCTTACAATTAGAATGATCAATTGATTTATTTGGGGCTTTAAAACAGGAATAAAAAAGAAAGTACCATGAATGTAAAAGATGTATTGTGCACTCCATTTGTACAAGCGAAAAAGAAAAGGAGGGGGGGAATGGATTGAGCGGACAGTGATGTTTTCCTTTGATGTATTTGAAACAAAGCGAGAAAAAGTTTTGTCTCTCTGGAGCACATTTTAAGAACTTTCTAAAAGTAAACAAAAAAGAAAAGATGTCGGAGCTGGGCAAAAGCGAGCGGAGAAGAAGGGAGGGACTTCCATCTGGGCGTTTGCTTGTGTGCGAGAGCCGGCTGTTGAATGTTTGGACTGTTTATGGCTGTGAATCCGACGGGAGTTTTGTAAAACGGAAAAGTTTGAATTGTGACAGCGAGAAGTGCCTGACAAGCGCTTATATAAGTCAACAATTGCGAGGAGGACCCATAGAGAGTTTGGGAGCGGATATAAAAGCGAAAATGAAATTAATACCATTCTCAAAATTGGGGACCTCCGGTAATGGCATGAAAAGAAGAGGATTTATAGTGCATGAACTGAGAGTACCAGCACGCAAAGAAGCGGTTCTGAATGTGCCCAGAAGAGGCTTTTTTATTAACAGAAACTCAAAGGAACATTACTAACATACTA